ATGCAAGTTCCTGCAAGCGACCACGCCACTCCCTGTGGAGAGTTGCACGGCGGAAAGGATACAAGTAGTAGTTTGCACACACGTTTCAACCCTGGACCACGCCAATCCATGCAGAGGGTTACACGCAGCGCCCAAAGACCATGCAACAGTACCTGCACACCTTCCGATTAGAACATTCGAGGAAGTTAATCCCTCTCAATGAAGGATTGCGCGGGGCACCGCAAAATGTGTAACTTTACCTTGCGTTCGACCACTCGACCACGCCAATCCCTGTGAGGGGTTGCAAAATTCATTTCAATGCTCATCAAAAATTGCAACTTTACCTCGCGTTCGAACACTCCACTACGCCAATCCCTGTGAAAGGTTGCAAAATTCATCTCAATGCTCATCAAAAATTGCAACTTTACCTCGCGTTCAACCACTCGACCACGCCAATCCCTGTGAGGGGTTGCAAAATTCATCTCAATGCTCATCAAAAATTGCAACTTTACCTCGCGTTCGAACACTCCACCACGCCAATCCTTGTGAAGGGTTGCAAAATTCATTTCAATGCTCATCAAAAATTGCAACTTTACCTCGCGTTCGAACACTCCACCCCGCCAATCCTTGTGAAGGGTTGCAAAATTCATTTCAATGCAAATCAAAAAATGCAACTTTACCTCGCGTTCGAACACCCGACCACGCCAATCCCTGTGAAGGGTTGCAAAATGCAAATCCCTGTGAAGGGTTGCAAAAAAAATTGCACTGCACCCAAACCCTGTGAAGGGTTGCGCGGCGCCCGCAAGAAGTGTAACTTTACCTCGCGTTTGAACGCCCGAGGAGGCGAATCCCTGTGAAGGGTTGCGCGGGAACCGCAAAATGTGTAACTTTACCTCGCGTTTGAACGCCCGAGGAGGCGAATCCCTGTGAAGGGTTGCGCGGGAACCCTAAAATGTGTAACTTTACCTAGCGTTTGGGCGCTCGAGAGTTCCAATCCCTGTGAAGGGTTGCGCGGGAACCGCAAAATGTGTAACTTTACCTCGCGTTTGAACGCCCGAGGCAGCGAATCCCTGGGAAGGGTTGCGCCGGGCGCCTAAAATGTGTAACTTTACCTCGCGTTTGAACGCCCGAGGCAGCGAATCCATGGGAAGGGTTGCGCGGTGCGCCTAAAATGTGTCACTTTACCTCGCGTTTGAACGCCCGAGGCAGCGAATCCATGGGAAGGGTTGCGCGGTGCGCCTAAAATGTGTCACTTTACCTAGCGTTTGAACGCCCGAGGCAGCGAATCCCTGGGAAGGGTTGCGCGGTGCGCCTAAAATGTGTCACTTTACCTAGCGTTTGAACGCCCGAGGCAGCGAATCCCTGGGAAGTGTTGCGCCGGGCGCCTAAAATGTGTCACTTTACCTAGCGTTTGAACGCCCGAGGCAGCGAATCCCTGGGAAGGGTTGCATTCCCGATGGACCCCGACGGTGCCACCCCCGCCAATATTAAGAAATATTAAGATACCGAGATGTAGAGAGTAAGTCATAAGTATAGTAAGTCATAGATGCATAGAGAGTCAGTCATAAGTAAGTAAGTATAGTAAGTATAAGTAAGCAAGTCAAGTAAGGTAAGTCATAAGTCATAGTAAGTCATAGATGCGTAGAGAGTCAGTCATAAGTAAGTAAGTATAGTAAGTATAAGTAAGCAAGTCAAGTAAGTAAGTAAGTATAGAGATAGCATAACATAGAGTCCAGTGTCAAGTGTCAAGTGTCAAGTAAGTTAGTAAGTAGATTGAAGTAAGTAAGTAAGTAAGTAAGTCGTAAGCATATCATAGAGTCAAGTATCAAGTGTAGAGTCAAGTATCATAGAGTCAAGTGTCAAGTGTAGAGAGTCAGTCATAAGGGTCAAGTAAGTAAGTAAGTATCAAGTGTAGAGTCAAGTATCAAGTGTAGAGTGTAGAGTAAAGTATGGAATCAAGTGAGTTGATTCTATGTCTGTCATCTATGTACTCAGCTGCGGCGTTCCACACGGAAGAACCCTTCGCGATGCTTTCGGGAATAATGGGCTCCGGAGAACCACAAGGCAATCTTGAACGAGCCCTCGCCGAATTTGACAGGTTGATGATCCGCCAGCTGAGGCACGACAACGATGGTAAGGCCGAAGATCTCGGCAGCTGCGTGCAATTCGAGATTCCCCATCCCTGACTCAGCGCGCTCGAGCTCGTTGAAATAATCCTCGCAGCTGTCGACTTTCCCAACGTCACGAGTGTTGGTGCCGCCCCAGAAAGGCAAGGGCCTTCTTTTTGCGCATGTGCGCAACGATCTCTGCTCGGACATGAGCGCTCGCAGTGGGCTTTGAGCTTTGCTTGACCCACTGAATGCCCTTGCCAAGAGCATGCGGGAGGCATGCTCCGTCGGCGGGCACCTCCACCAAAGCGGTGCCGTCGGGTAAAAGCACGTCGCTCCACTGCCTGCCGTTGCTTGCTCTCAGAGGTAGCCTACTTGTCGCCCTCCGCTGTTTCTCCGGTTGCCGTAGGGACCGACTCGACTTGGGTGAGAAAGAGCTCCTTGGAGAAGCGGAAGGTGGCCGGCTGCTGAAGCACAGTGCGCCGAGCCCGTGTGGGAACTGCCGGGGCAGGCGCCAAAGGGACCATCAATGGCAGCCGGGCGCTTATCAACCGCCGTGGGCTCAAAGAACAAAGCATTCCTGCCAGAGTCCTTCAAGAAAGTGTCGGCTTGCGTCGCAGCCACCCCAAGGTGTCCTTGACCGTGGGGAAGCGAGTCTTCAGGAAGCGCACCGCGTTGGCCCGGAGCTCATTGTACTCCTGTTGTTTGACAAACTCGCGTCCCACCACCACACGCAACACCGTAGTTTGTGGCGCCACCAACTTCTTGGCCGGCCGAAGCAACCGCTCGGCGAAGACTCGGAAGAGCCTGCGTTAACTGTCGTGCGCCGTTTTTTTGCATTTCTGAGGATTCGGACTTGTCTTGGGGTGGGGTGGGGCGGGCGGTTAATAACGTCCGTGCTGCGTGAGCTTGGGCCAAAGCTGATGCAGTTTTCGCGACAAAAATTCACCAATCCTCCTCAATCAATACGACTTCCCAATGTTTTCATCCTGATTCCAATCTATCCTATCTTCTTCTCAGCTCCGATGAGTCTCACAAATCTGACGAAGTTGATCCGATGCAGTTCCTTGCGATAGGCAGATCTCACGAAGATGATCCGATGCAGTTGTCGCGACAAAAATTCACCAATCCTCCTCAATCAATACGAATTCCCAATGTTTTCATCCTGATTCCAACCTATCCTATCTTCCACTCAACTCAGATGAATCTCTCACATCTGACGAAGTTCATCCGATGCGTTTTCCTGCGATAGGCACATCTCACAATCATGATCCAATGCAGTTGTCGCGACAAGAATTCACCAATCCACGGCAATTCCCGATGTTTTGATAGTGCAACGAGTATGTCTTTTTCATTGATCTCTCTTTGCTGCCGCATTCGCGGCTGAAAAAGTCATTGGTTACTCATCTTCGAAACCACGTAGAGGAAAAAAGCACAAACTTTGGGGTAAACGGCAAAATCGCATTTTTGAGTGTTGACATCACGAAAACCTCGTTGTGCGCAGTGTTCTCGGCCCTTCAACCACGCGAAAAAGAAGACCCAGAAAAGTAAGACGCCGAATCTCGCAAAGTGCCACGCCTGCCATGGTTTCCACAAAACTAGCTCTGAAAACAGCATTTTCTTTTAGGCCTCGTTTTCAGTCTTAAAATGTGCTCCCGCTGTGGCGAACCGCGTATTTGCACAAAAAACACGCGACGGATTCCGACACTTGCGGTATGAGCTAATAAATATATACACACATGTAAGACCCTTTTCATACACATATTTGTGCACATACTAACCTGTTGACACACATTCAAAAAATCGTAGCAAAACATTTGGTTAATGTTTGAGTAGGTGTAATATCTGATACTCGAGGTAAGGGCTTGAAACATGCTAAACAATATTGTCAAACAGTTCATCTTTCGCATATTAAAGATAGATATAGGACGTATCTGTGTATTTATCTGTGCATCTACAGACCTGTTTCATTTTAGGTATATCAGTTTGTCTGATAACGATAGCCACAAGCGCAGTATTCATTGAAATAGACATTTCTTGCAAAAGGGCCGTAGTTAGTATGCTACAAATGGACGTATATATGTATGTATATGTATGCATGTATGTATGTATGTATGTATGAAAAGTTGACCGCTGTGATTAGCTTGCAAGTGAAACAGTGTTACAACAAAGAAGCAAAACTAATTACGGCACTCACATGTATACATACGTACACATGTACACATATAGAAAACATATATCGAGTGCCCTTTCCGTGAGAGCGCTGTCTCAATTTATGTGGTGCGCCGACCAACCGAAAAATATCCGGAAGTGTTCGAAATCCGCGCAGTAGAATCCAGGAGCTCCAACATAATATTGTTGTTTCTTTGCTGGTCACTTTGTTGTCTGCTGCTTGCTTTTGGTTCCTTTACTGTGCATATTCTGGACTTGGCTGCATGCCCTGAAACCACCGAAAACCCGCATGCACAGGGCTCCCTGTTTTGTATACTACACCAGCATATGTCATAACAAGATGGCGATAGCAAGCTACGCTTAGTGTGGTATATATGAATATGCAAATATATGTTATATACACATATATGGTCACAACCCCCCATGATCCAGCCCAGCCTTCTTGTCAACTGTTCGTGCAAGGTACTATGTCTCCAAATGCTTTCTCCGAAGTCCATAAACCATCGGTATTTGCGGGGCTTTCTATACTTCACAGATATTGACCTGTGCTTATCGTACTCTATTTCTTGCAAATGAAAAACCACCCAAATTCCAAACCAGAATCTGGTTCTGCGTCCGCGCTAGTGCGAAGAAGCACTCGAGCCCCTCTGTTAAGACAGACGAAAGAAAACACAGTTGTTTTTGCTCAGTGGGTGTTATTATCTGTCATTAGGAACTCCTGTTTCATCACACACAATGGCTGGAACCCAACGAGCCCTTACGATCTGCCAATAAAGCAAAATTAAGTCTGAATGTTTCGGAGAAGAAAGTGGTCTCGCTCCACCGAATTCCAAATACATTCGGTGGTATGTCGAGGTATGTCGAGCTTTTTACGCTGCAAAACATGAAAACCATATAACAAGTCAAATTTTCGTGTGCTACCAGCAAGAACACAAGCTAAGACCAAGTAAACATCCCCCGCCGTCTTCTCCTCATAGAACTATGGAAGCATACCTCTATACTATACCTTGTAAGGCTTCGTGGGAATTGAGACAAACATTTTACTTGGAAGCATTCGTTGTGCCTCTCCTAGTAAAACGACGTATGCTAAACACATCTGCTGTCCTCGCTTAACTACTAAGATGAAAGACGATCCCGGCTCACAACTCAATCAAGCTCTATTGCAGCGTACTACTCGCACACATAATAAAGATCCTGCCATCCTTCAGGGCAAAATGAAACAGCTCCAAACCTCTCTCTCCCCACAGACTCAGAGCAATGGTGGAACACATCTAATTCTCACTATCGTTATGCGTTTAGGACAGCAACAAAACACTTGACTTGCATCTTGATCAAGGCTGATGTTAGCTACAATCATGACTCAGCTCGATGAAAGAAGACTTGGAACTGAAGCAATTGAAGCTCATTTGCTAGGTTCCCCAGTGTCCCCTTAATCATGAGGTTTGGTATCTAACGGAACCCTCAAACTCATAAGGCAAACAGGATACTAGTGGGGAACTGACTTTCTGTAATACGAAAGGAACGACCATTTATCTTGCAATATGAAATACCTGAGCTTATCAGCTTCGGTAGCTATTGAATATGAAGTGCTTTTTCCGCAGCGGGCAAGGTTCTAAACTGTTAGCAAGGTCTACACTGTTAGCAAGATCTTACCTCAATGAGGAAACAAGAACTCGACGATATTTAAACATGATGTCAATGTCAGGTTCAACAGACATTCGCGTTTGCATACAGACAAGTTTCATTAGCATAAGAGTGTGCAGCTGTTCTTCTATTTCTTCTGGTGAGCAAAGCTGCTCTCAACTACGGTTCTGAGTTTCGTCGGTGAAAAAAAGCGTGAGTACCGTTGGTAGCTGAAGCACGCGAAGGCCACTTATGTAATACAGCCAGAAGCAGCCGTTTATCTTGCAATATGCAATAGCGGAGCTTATAAGCTTATCTGCTGGCTAGATCCGATGTCTCTCAACCTTGAGAAGAAAGCTAGAGAGCCACGTCCCCACCACGTCCTAGAGCATCCACAAACACAAACAGGTTTGAATAGTACAGGGCACACTGCTCCTCTATTACTCTTTGGATTTCAGCTTAGGAAAAGTCGATCCCTGTCCATGTTTTCGCATCCGAAGTTGCTAAATTGCTGCCAGGCTCTAATTTCCACAAAATTTCTATAGCCTGGCACTGAAATGCGAAAACACAGGCAGGGATCAAATTTCACCCAAATTCCTAGAATCCTCGCATCTATGCGGAGAGCGGGAGCGATAAATGCTCGGATTCTGGGAATTTGGGGGAAATTTGATCCCTGCCAACGTTTTGGGGACATGTGATCCTTGTCGATGTTTTCGCACCGGGAGGTTGCCCACCTCCCATGATCCACTGCTTACGAAAATCGTGCTGGGTTGGATCATGGGGGGCGGGGGGCGGCGTGAGCATATATATATGTATATATATATACATATACTTACATACGATGTGCATGTGTACATATTCTTTGTGTGTGTATGCATAGACCTAAGTATGTTGTGAGCAATGTGCTATGCTATAATATACGTGTAGAAAACATATGAATACAAGTGGTATACAATCTAACCTGTATTGCTTTTTATGTTGTGGATGCAACTGGAAATTGAAACTTAGGTGATGGACATTCTGCTGTATATGCCGTATTTTATGTTATATAGTAAGTGAAGCTAGAGTGAACTAAGAATGCATCGTGTCACCTCGTACTACATGCTCAATATTGGCCCGAACCTATATTAATAGTCTGTTGTGCTATGCTGTAACACAGCACATTGTTTGCAAGACCATACTGTGCTATGTTGCATATCATATGCTGTATTCCATTATGACGACCTCTATCATGTCATCTCAACGAATTTGCGATGGCATCATTCCAAACCATGTTATATTTACAGAAAGCACTGCTCTGTGACAGAAACACTCTGCGTCGCATGAGTAGACTATGCAATGTACAAGACTAAACTCTGCGATGCAAGCGACTTTAAGCTATTCTAAGTTATGCCATATCACACAATGCCATACAGTATTGTATTCTGCTATGTTGTATTATGGGATGTGATGCTGTATTATGACGCTTTGTGTGAAAACTTTTGGCTCTGTACTATGCAGTTCTGTATTCTCTCGTATTGTGCTGCACTTCACTTTCAATTACATTGCATTCCTCATATTGCGTTATATGGATATTATCTGGCCTTACATTGACCTGTTCAGTGATTGAACCTGCCCGTCTTTTCTCTGCTTTCATGTTCGCCTGTTGCCACTAGCCTTGTACCACGATTATGATTGCCGTTACTATTCTTTAAGATATGAGCTTTTGAGGCTTGCACCTTCGGGGTTGAGCATTTGTTGTTCCTTCCTTCTTCCGTCCATCCTTCCTGGCTCACTTCCTCACATGGATTGCTCCCTCTTCTTTCGCGATGCTCTCCTTTTAAACGCATAGGTAAATTTTGTTGCGACCCTGATGACATTTGACTGAACCCTCTTTGAATTTGCTTTGACGCTGCTTATTCTTCGATCCACATCCCGCCACAATGCATGCCGTGCAAACGGGCTCGCAATCAACCTGAGCCCGAGCGATTCCTGATGCTTATCGTACTTACGTATCTAGCGCACGTGATGCATACATATATGCAAACTCAGGTGCAGAAGAAGGGCAATCACACGTCGGAAATTGCAACATTCAACATAGACAGTTCTAGGTATACAGAACTGAGACAAGCAGCCACCACGCCCCGCGTCTTCGGAGTATAGGATAAAACCATCATTCACCACTTGCCATACGGAGGTGACCACAACAACCTCTGGATCATAACAGGAGACTCCACCAATGCTTTCGACTTATGAGGGACCCCGTCATGCAAATGTCAAGGTGGTGGAGTCGAAGGCTGGATGTCAGATCATGTGCTGAGGCTTATCTCAACTTCTGCTTGATCTCTAACCCTGATCTTCCGTTAAGTCTGATGACGAGATCCAGCCAGCCCCACATCCACTCTTTCGAAAAGAAGACATGCTTGCCACCGGCGCCAATTCGCATCAAGAGCTCCTGGCATTATACTGTCGGGCATGCAACAAGCTGCGAAGAGTCGTCTACTTTCTGTTGCTGGCAAAGCCAAAGGCCTGCCCTGAGACAAGAACAACCTCGTTCAGAATCAGACAAGGGTCCACCGTGAATATTGCTGCAAAAGCTACATGCATGAAAAAATACTCCGGCTGCATCGACCCCGGATGCTCGATAGCATGCTGGGTTTCGAAGCCGATGAACACCGCGTTCGTCAGAACCACAAGGGTGCAACCGGCTTCGAAGAAGGGATGCGAGCAAATCTCGCCAAGGCAGCCTTGCCTGGAATCTTCTACACCTTCTGCATTCGCGGGGAGCAGCTCCTTCTTCGATCGATGCACTTCGGAAGCCGCTCGTCGAAGTGCACGGTCAAGTGCTGAGAAAGTCTTCAGATAACGCCGCTGGGTCCCTTGTTCAGCCTTCATGCTCATGCTGGCTTCCACTTCGCTAATCGAGCTGGCTGACGAAGCCACGCTGGACCGGATCGACTGGCGTTCTGTAACTATTGGTACTGGAAACGCAGCGGGCTGCACCAGGCTAGTTTGAAGGCGTTCTTTGAACACAACGTTCTGCAATGTAGAATGCTGTGCCGCCAGCTGCTGCATGATCTCCCGGTGCTGCTGCATCAGCAAGCCATGCAAGTCCGCAGCGCAGCTCGCGTCGACTGCTGCCATGTAGATGCCAGGGCTTGCTGGGGGAGAGTGGCGTACACTCTCCGGCACTTCGACGTCTGCTGGCAGATTGGAAAGCTCTGGAGGCAGTGTAGTGTCCATTCCGCTGGCGCGCGATGTCTCTGGTGACAGCGCACGTGGGTCGCACATGGACAACTCTCTCTGTCTGAGGAATGGAATGAACAAGCTAGAAAGGCATCTGGACTTGCTTGCCGCTGGAGTCTCGTAGTCCGTCGGATTTGTGGACACGTGTCAGAACGGAATCAGTGACTGCTGCTCTGTGCATGCCTTTCTGGACCGTCCGAGCATGGCAACCCCGCATCCCATTTTGCTGCTTGCCTGCTAACTTAAGATATAACTTGATAGTCATAGCGGTACGAATAGTGAAGTAGTAGTGGTAGTAGCACTCGGTCGTAGCAGCAGCAGCAGCAGCAGCAGCAGCAGCAGCAGCAGCAGTAGGAGCAGGACCAGGAGCACCAGCAGCAGCAGCAGCTGCGGCAGGAGCAGCAAAAGCGGTATTGACAGGCGTAGTCGTCGTCGATGTCGTCGTCGTGGTGCTGCTGCTGCTGCTACTACTACTACTACTACTGCTGCTCTTACTCCTACACTCCTACTGCTACTCTTACTCCTACTCCTACTGCTACGGCAACTGCTTACTTCTACTGCTTCCGCTACTACTACTACTACTACTACTACTACTACTACTACTACTACTACTACCACTACCACTACCACTACTACTACTACTACTACTACTACTACTACTACTACTACTACTACTACTACTACTACTACTACTACTACTACTACTACTACTACTACTAGTGATGGAGTAGCGTAGAGTACTACGAGTAGTACTCTTCGTCGTAGTAGTCGTAGTAGTAGTATAGTAGTAGTAGTAGTAGTAGCAGTAGCAGTAGCAGTAGCAGTAGCAGTAGCAGTAGCAGTAGCAGTAGCAGTAGCAGTAGTAGTAGTAGTAGTAGTAGTAGTAGTAGCAATAGTAGTAGTAGTAGTAGTAGTAGTAGTAGTAGTAGTAGTAGTAGTAGTAGAAGTAGTAGTAGTAGTAGTAGTAGTAGTAGTAGTAGTAGCTATGAACAGCAGTTGCTATGATTACTACTAGTACTCGACGTTACTCTAAGTTCCCCACATTTGGCTTCTCCACGTGAACCGGCCGCGTCACTCCAATCGAGAAACTACTCTGCCTTCCAAGGCATACGGTGCGAGCTCACCTGTGGAGAATCTAAGCAAGCTGGAGCATGGTTTGGCAAAAATGTCAGACTGTCAGACTATTGCTATTCGAGCTACACTACTGCCATACTACAGACATTCAAGCCTCCAGTCCAGCAAAACGACAACTGATGAAAGGCGGCTCTGACCGGAATACTTCATACATAAAATGACTCCACTGGACCATGTGCGGAACACGTGGTGACATGTACAGCAGCCAAGCTCCACTCTTATGTGCAGCAGCTGAACCTTCTCAACACTGGCGGGCTCTCGTGGTGGAGGGAGTTGGGACGTGAAGGCTCGACTGGGCTCAAATGCAGCCTACAAAAAGGAAATGAAACTGGGGCGTCCCCAGGGTGTCTAGGACTTGGGGCAGACATCCAGCGACCCAGATCTGTGTTGAGCGGCTAGTTGTTGCTTCCTTGGGAAGCGAAATGTCGCAACATGCAACATGTGGAAACTGCATCGTCCACCCTACCCCCGAGGGTAGGGACCTCAACTACCTTACGAGGTTGCCCGTTTTGGGGTTGAGGCATACTTCACACCTCCAAGGGAGGAGGATTTGTCGACATCCTCAAGGACCGGCACCACGCCCACAGCAACTCCAATCATGTCAGTCCTCGGCCGCGCCGCTGCTTGTCACAAGTCTGCACATGTGTGCAAGCTGCATCAGAGGGTCTGCAACATTTGCAGGTGCATGGAACGGATAGCAGGGATAGGCAAATACCCAGCAGAAGTTTCGCTCAACCTGCGTCCTGTAACGTCCCAGCGCATCGGGCCCAGGCGGCCCAAAATGTGAAAAGCTAGACTCTCAATCATTTGCCGAGTTGTTTTTTCCAACATTGTGCAGTGCCCGCTTCTGCAAGCAGGGATATCAATGCCTTCACTAAAAAATCATTAAGAACTGACCTCCAAGCGGATCGGTTTCGCCATGTTGTTTGGTTGGATGGTCGGTCGCTTGGTTTGTAGGTGTCGTCGTCGTCGTCGTCGTTGTTGTTGTTGTTGCTGCAGCCGCTCCCGCTGTTCTTGCTGTTTCTGGTGGCGCTTTTGTTGTTGGTGGTTGGGGGTGGTGAGGAAGGGGCGATCGTTGCACTGGGGTGTTGGGGTTGTATAGGGGTTGTATGGGGGATATAGTGAACAGATTGGGGGGTGCATGTGAGGTGTAGGGCAGGGAGTATGAAAGGATGTATGGGATATAGAGGCTGTTGCTGGTGCTGTTGGCGTTGTGTTGGCACAGGCATTGTTGAGGCGCGCGCAGGCGCATTTTTAAAGGCATTGTTTTGGCCGTTGATGTCGTCGCCGGTGGTTGTTGGTGCTGCCGTTGCTGCCAATCTGGCAGGCGCAAGGTAGTTTCATCGGTGTCCTGGGTGGTGGCTGTCGAGGTGCAGGCCTGCACTGGGCTGAGGCGGGTTCGCGTAGCGGTTAAACTGTAATGCTTTCAAAGCTCAAACGGGCAAGCTGTGACTCGACATGGGATTGGAACCGGCTTTGGCTCCGGATGAGCCATGTCTGGTCATGTATGATTTTGCCCACCTTGGTGCCGATGCTGAAACACTGCTAATCTGCAAATGCACGGCGCTATGCTGAATCGAAAGGCTAAACCCCAAATACAAAACCTTTGCATCAAACAAACCAACAAACATCAATGGCTCTGGCTGCCCCACGCAAACGCAGGCACCCCATCAGGAACTCGTCTATCTCGACTTCCCCACCAGCATCCAAATCCAATAGCTTGAAGAAGGACCATGCATCCCAGATGTCAAGTCCCAAACTTTCGAAGTATTCGCGGACTTCTGGGCAATTGATCTTCTCTTCGAACCTCGATTCTGTTATCAAAGCATAGCTCAAAACATGTCATGTTCTGTTTAAAATCAAAACTGCACCCACACAGACTAAAACACGGTAGCGCAGGAACATTGCATAAGTAACCACTGAGCTGTCACCATCACCGTTGAACTGGTTGAACAAACTGCGGATTTTGGTGACGTGTGCTTCCTTGTCCTCCAAAATTGCTTGCACCACTGAAGCATGATCTTGTTGCGCGCTGTCGATTGCAGACTGGCAGAACACGCCCGTCACCTTAAATTTGGACTAACTAACTAACTTTGTTCTGGTGCCGGCAAGCCCCAAATGGCCCTCATAAACCCTCGTTTCAGAAGGAAGGGTAGCCATCTGACATGAGTGCAACGGCCAAGTGGTGCAGAAGAACGCTGCTGCATACAAGTCGCCACATTCAACACTGCGAAGTACGTGAACGAGATAAATAATACGTAGCAGATCACCCACCAAATCGAGATCGCCTGCAACGTTCGCAAAGTACAGGCTTATACTCTTCAACTTCACAACGGTGTTGTCTGCTGCTAAACGAAAAATGCCACATCCATCAAAGCTACAGCAGCAGCAGCGCAAACAAGGTGTCACTGGCAGCACCAACACAAGCTCCACCGAAGCAGCATGGCAACCACCACCACCATCAACACCACCAGGACGAGCACCACAACGGCAACAGCAACAGCAACAATCATTTTTCATTCAGACGCTCGTGCGGTAGTTCCGCACTTTCGTGGGCATCAGGCTACATGACTGTTCATGAATGGCCAGCTATTGGGCAAGTTCAGCAGAGCAGAAACCATACGGACCAAGCTAAGCCTAAAACAAAGCAAGCCAAGCTAGAAACGGCCCCAAAACTGGCGGGTCTTGCCGTCTTGCCTCGCAGCAATCTGCAAAAAGCTTAGCAAGACTTGCGTCACACGGCGGTCCGTGGACTAAGCCCGTGCGGAGCGCAGATCTGCACCCTGCGCGCCGGTCCGAGGACTCTGCACACGCAGTTGTTCGCAAAACAGAGCTTTAAGCATATCACCCACAAAACTTGTGGGTTTTTCTCGGTTGCTGTTCCTTTTCGTAAGCAATATCAAACAACAATCTAAACAAACCAGGATGGCTGGATCTAGGAAGGGGGGCTCCCACTGCAACAGGGGGCCATCTTTCCATGCAACAGCGGCAACCTCCCACATCAACCAAGAACTCCTGTGTGGAGAGTGGCGTCCGCCAGACTAGGAGGCCGACGAATGCAAACTTAGCAAATATCTGCTCTGCAAACAGCGCAAACATGAACATGAAATAACCCTCCTGCGGAAAAACGGGAGCCCTCACGCGTAGGTAGGAGCAGAACGAAATTGCTTAGCAAGTTGTTGTCTCCCCCCGGATTGGGGACCGGGCCAGCTCCTGCTTGCAACGCGTGCAAAGTGGTGGTGCAGCGCAAGAAAGCGAGACCGCAAGAAGCCTCACAGAGAGTGAAACAGCACTCCCATGCGCAGCCTGAGCTAACTTAACAAATGCGTGGTTGAAGGACCCGGGAACTGCTCGGAACTCAAACAATTGGGCCCTCCACAGGCTGTCCTGTGGTGATTGGACGGCTACAGTTCGCAGCCGCTTGGGCTGGTAGCGCTTCAATGCGCTTCAGCAACAACAACAGCAACCGCAACAGCTATAGCAACAGCAACAGCAGCAGCAACAGCAGCGGCAGCAGCAACAGCAGCAACAACAGCAGCGGCAGCAACAGCAACAACAACAGCAGCAGCAACAGCAGCGGCAGCGGCAGGGGCACCAGCACCCGCACTCGCAGCAACAACAACAACAACAACAACAACAACAACAACAACAACAACAACAGCAACAACAACAGCAACAGCAACAGCAACAGCAACAGCAACAACAAGAGCAACAAGAGCAACAAGAGCAACAAGAGCAACAAGAGCAGCAAGAGCAACAAGAGCAACAAGAGCAACAAGAGCAACAAGAGCAACAAGAGCAACAAGAGCAACAAGAGCAACAAGAGCAACAAGAGCAACAAGAACAACAAGAACAACAAGAACAACAGCAACAGCAACCGCAACCGCGACCGCAACCGCAACGACAACCACAACCGCAACCATAACAACCACGACCACAATGTCACAGTGTGCTGTTAGCCCTCACTCCCGTTTGAGAGAGCACGAAAGCACTGAAGTTACCAATGCGACGTCCGCTTCGTGCACGCCAAAGCTGCGCACAAAAAACAGGAGTGTTGCTCAGTTGCGCGGAACGTTTCGCGTTTTGGGCAAAGGTAGGCACCTTTTGGCAGGCCTTCAACCTTTCATCATGCACTACATAGACACATACAAACATCAAATGTAGCAACATTGTACATGAGTACTCGTGCTTGCAAGGTGAAGTCGAAGTTGAAGTGGAAATATGTGGAAATTAGCCGCCCTCGCCGAACTGCACGAGCTCGTGGGCTTGCACCAGGACGCCACACACAGCCATTGCAAGCAATTAGCCGTCCCACTCCTCCAACAGTTGAGCGTCGCTCCTTCTCGCACGCTCCCTGGCCGTCAGGGTGCTCCGCATGAGCTCATGGTAAGGCTTGGTGCGCAAAGCCTCCGACCTCTCTGGGTCTCCACTCCGGGCGCTTCCCGTGGGAAGGCACCCACAAGGGCAAGATCTTCCCTGCCACAGCTTCCACTGCCGACCAGAACGGTCGCAGCTCATTTATCGCACGACCAGTGTGCTCACGAAAGGCCTGCAACCGCAAAACCAGAGGGAGGTTGTCAAAAATCGCAACGACCGAAACCTCCAGCCGCCGAAGGCCACAAGAGGCCGGCACCTGTGGATCATCGCCAACAATGGCCCGCGCAGCAGCCTGACGGTGATTGCAACCTTGCGCAGTAGTGACGCCGCCATCCAAGGCCAACAAAAGAGGCGTTTGAGAAGCGCGCTCCCTCAGAGCGGCCGTAAGGGCCAGCACCTGCTGAATCTCTTCCGCGTCCTCCTGAAGCTGCAAGTTGGGCGGGAGCTGAACGAGTGCAGTCAAGAGCCCGTTGCACTGCGAGGTTCCAGTTGCCAGGGCCGCTCTGTGCAGTAAAAGTCAAGTGTGTCCGCGAAGGGAACTCCTCCCCACAAGCACCAGCGAGGCGGCAGCCCAAACGTTGAAGAACGCGGCCGTCCGCAGCGTTTCCAACCGCAGTTCTGAAGTTGAGGTCTGCACTCCACAACCAGCGTCGCCAAGTGTTCTTCAACTCCGTCGACAAATCACGCTTAGAGACCCAGGTCACGTCGAAAGACTCCTGCCCAACCTGCCAAAGGCGGCCTCGCGCTTTCCGACCAAACTGTTTCAGAGCTTCCAAAGTGTTAGCCCTGGGAGAAGAAGACGGGTCCTCCACGAGCTGTTGCCAACAGCGAAGCAGCGCCCTGCCAGAGACAACGAAGCCAGGATGTCGCTGAACGCCAGCAACAGTAGTCCAAAAGAGGTAAGCACTGCGACCCCCACGCCCACCAGAACCCCAGATGGCCTGCTCCGTCAAAGACGTCCACTTCTGCAGCGTGGCTTTCGTAACAACCAGCCAGGCCACCACGAAGCGCAGCTTGGAGAGGATCAAGAGCGAAGCAAGCATCGCTCGAGTCTTGTAACTGCAGCCAATCATCTGGATCAGTTGGCTTCGGCGTTGAAGCTCCTCAGTCAAGGCCTCAGCCCTACAAGCCTGTCGTCCCGAAATCTGGTAGGACAGGCCCAAAAGAGCAAACTGCTGACAAGGGGAGCCAACCAAAGCACTGTGCTGTTCCAGCTCTGTTTCCAACTCACGGCCACTGGCGAAAAAGGCCAGCTTGTCGGGGCGCTGCTGAAAACCAACGCAAGTGTCGATCTCCACAACGTTGGCCGCCACCGTCACTAAAGCCCGCACGGGGTCCCTGCCCAGCACCCAAATGGTCTGGTCGTCCACATAGGTGCAGAAACAAACAATAGGCTCACGAAGCCGCAGTCACAGTCCAGGGCGGGAGAGCTTGACAGCCATGATGCGGTGCTCAAACTCCAACTCCCAAGGAAGCTGAAGCCGTTGGCAAGGCCAATCCGTAATGAAGGCCACACCCCCGCGAAGCTGACCAGAGGTAGTTATAATCCTTGCGGTCCCACAAAGAACGACCAACCCAAAAGTTTGAAAGTGACATGAGTAGCAGTGTAACTGGCCTCAGCAAGGCGCGTCTCCTGTAAGCAGAGGCAACGCACTTTGCAGTAAGCAGCCAAACCAGCGACAGCTTGCACTCTGCTAGTGAGGGTGCCTACATTCAAAGTAGCGATGCGCAGCTCCTCTCCCTCCCCTTGGCCAGGAGCCACGGTTCCCTTCATGGGGCCTGAGAGCCCCGCCGCTGAGCAGCCAAAGTCTCCTTGGCCTCCTCCTCACGCTCTGTGCCGCATTGGTGAGCAACCCCAAGGAAGTCCAGGAAGCGTCTCGCAGTCTTGCCAGTGGCACCGTCTTGCTTTGCGCAGTCTCGAAAAGCAGTGACGTCCTCGTGTCGCCTGCGCCGGGAGCCGACGGCTTTGCAGATGCCAGGCCCTCGCTGCGTGCCACCTGGAGTCCCTGCACTCGGTTCGCAGCCGCCTTGTTGCGCTTGGCGACAGTATAGCCTTGACAGAGTTGTCGGCGCTCTTCAAGCAAAACTCCTTGAGGTCAACGTCCGGGCGCGCCCCCTTGCCATGGTCAGTGCGAGCTCGGTGGCGAAGACTGCAACGAGCTTCGTCCGCAAGAAGACCAAGACCGCAGCCGGGAACTGGACACCGCGACAAACAGTTGGGGACCAGGGGACCAGCAAAGCTTTGGCCTCCCTGCGGCTCAACTCCTCCACCATGTCCGGGTGTTGCTGGTGGACATGTGCCCATTTACGCTGGGACCATCCACGTGTCCAGTGTCGTAACCACACTCAAGGCACTTCCAGCTGCCGTGGGTTTGGGGCCCAGACCTAACTCTGAGACGAGGCTTCCTCTTAAGGGGCTTAGGAGGAAGGCAAACAGCCTCAGCCTTCGCGTCCTCCACTTCCAAGGTAGAAGGCGTCCTAGTAGCAGTAGCAACGTTGTCAAAAGTCTCCAAGCCTTCCAAGAGCTCCTCGTCGTCAGCCTGCTCGTCCTTGCCCTCCGCGTTAGCAGCAACCGGCGTGGGAGGACTGCTAGCCGCAGCAAAAGCTTCGCCAAGCTGTTGCTGCCCCTCCGAGCTAGGGGCCGTCCTAGGGATTTGCCGGACAAGCTGGCCCTGGGTGTCCTGGCTGAAAAAAGTGAGCCCACAGGAAGTGCTCTCAGGGTCTCCACGTCCACCACGTCCACCGGAAGAGGTGCCCTTGGCCTCCAGACAAGCTGCAAAAAAATCATAATGGGCTCCGGAGAACCACAAAACAATCTTGAACGACAACGATGGTAAGCCGAAGATCTCGGCAGCTGCGTGCAATTCGAGATTCCCCATCCA